TTTTATTAGCACCTATGCAGCTCATTTTTAGTAGACAATTTAGCCGATACCGAAAGGACACGATGGCATGTACCGACAAGCGGGTGCAAGCGATCAATGAACTTATCAATGGATGTCAAATTATTAAAATGTACAATTGGGAAAAAGCCATGGAGCGACGAGTACGTGAAACACGTCGACATGAACTTTCAAACATTTACAAAGCGACCTTCTTGAGAGCTCTTAATATTGGTCTTTCCTTCGCAGCGTTACCTTTGATTTCTCTTGCTACATTCGGCGGTAGTTGGCTAATGGATCAAACTTTGCTCCCAGAAAATATTTTCGCAGCACTAGCCTTCTTCGCTCTGATCCATGTTCCAATAACAATTACGACGCCATATGCAATCGAAAAATTTAGTGAAGCTCGTGTGTCTGCAAGAAGAATCGATCAATTTATGCAACTGGAAACGTTGTTGAATAAACGTGAAAAAGTAAAAAATAAAAACGAGGACCATGCAATCATAATGGAAGATGCATCATTTTCTTGGAAAGATAATCCATCTTTGTTTTCTCTCAATCTCAAAATCAGAAATGGTCACGTAGTTGGAGTGAAAGGTGCTATCGGTTCTGGCAAGTCAACCCTACTAGCTGCTATTCTCGGTGAGATCAATCTTGTCAGTGGAAAACTACGACTCTATGTCAATTCTATCTCATACGCTCCACAATCAGCGTGGATATTTGCTGACACTATTCGAGCTAATATTCTGCTTGGTAAGCCAATGGACGAAGAACGTTACAAGAATGTAATAAAGGCCTGTTGTCTTGATATCGATCTACAGAATTTCGGTGAAGTCGGTGATTTATTGATGATTGGTGACAAAGGTGTCAATTTGAGTGGAGGACAAAAAGCTCGCATATCACTCGCCCGTGCTCTTTATGCTGATGCTGACTTATATTTACTTGACGATCCACTTGCTGCCGTTGATCCAAAGGTGGCAAAGAACATTTTTGATCAATGCATCGGTCCTCGTAGTCTTCTTCGTGGAAAGACTCGAATATTGATTACACATCAGACACATTTCTTAGTTGAAACAGATCAAATGTTTCTCTTGACAAATGGTCACATTGACGAATTACCTATTGAACAACGATCCGCTATTGAGCTATTGGATGACACATCTGAAACAGATTCGTCGAATAAAAAGGAATCAGATTGGACACTTAACACAACTATAAATGATATGAATTCGATTGTAAAGAGTGAGGCATCAGTTGACGGTGCCATTAAATGGAGTGTTTGGCTAGGACTATTTACTTCACCACCTCTACGTTGGTTTGGCTTTTTTCTTATGATTATTTTTATGCTTGGTAATGAAGCTCTATACGATTTTACAAATAGTTGGCTCGCTCGGTGGTCTGGTCAACGTAAAAGTGAACAACGATCATCATTTTATGCTTACGTCTATCTTGGAGTTACATTTGCTACATTGATCGTTGCATTAATACGTGTCGGTTATACTTTCTATATTATGTTGTGTGGTTCAACCTATTTTCACAATCGAATGCTCAAAGGTATCTTGTATACTTCGTTACGTTTCTTTGAAAGCAATCCAAGTGGACGAATATTGAATCGAGCAAGCAAAGATCAACAAGTATTAGATGAAGCGTTACCTCTAGCTTTAATTGATACTACGCAAAATTTACTTATGACTTTCGGTTCTATCGTAATTATTGGAATAAACAATCCATGGGTGCTTCTAATTCTTATTCTTTTGGTTCCTGCAGTTTTATGGCTTCGTCGATTTTACATGCGTTTGAGTCGCCAAATGAAACGACTCGAAAGTGTAACACGTAGTCCTATTTATGCATTGTTCTCATCATCATTAGATGGACTCACTAGTATTCGTGCGTTTGACGTTCAAGGTGATTTTTTGAAAATGTTCGTAGAAAGAATCGATACCAATGCACGAGCTTCCTTCATACTCTTTGCCAGTGCACGTTGGTTCGGTGTATGACTCGATCTTATGACATCTGTACTCATTTTGGTTACTGCTATTTTTGCAGTAGCATTGCGCCATCAAATCGATCCGTCGGCAGCAGCACTTAGTATCAGCTATTGTATCAATTTAACAGGTCTCTTTCAATGGGCTATACGACAATCAGCCGAAAGTGAAAATTTCATGACCAGTGCTGAACGTATTCACGAATACGGTCAATTAGTGCGAGAAAGCCATCAGAACAGTAACAAAAGTGCCGATCTTATTCAACCAGCAGACGATTGGCCTTCTCGTGGTATTATCGAATTCAAAGACTACACTTTTCGCTATCGACCAGAGCTCGATCCTGTACTTAAAAATCTCAATCTACGAATTAAATCCAAGGAAAAAATTGGAGTTATTGGTCGGACAGGTATGATTTGCTTCTATGCTGCTATCAAACAGATTCTTGCTCCCAAAAACCTTTGATTGAACTTTATCAAATTCAACAAATAATTCATCTCCGATTTATGTAATGATCAGTTTCCAAGGGATCCGGAGTAGGAGAATGCATCGTTTTTCCTTCATGAAAAATCTGCTTATTCATATATACGTTCTGTTTAGGTGCCGGAAAATCATCACTTCTTTAGGCTCTGTTTCGACTTGTTGATCAATCAGCAATTAATGGAACCATTCTCATCGATGATATTGATATTGGATGTCTTTCGCTCGATCATCTTCGTTCTCATTTAAGTGTTATTCCACAAGTACCTATACTCTTTTGTGGTACACTACGTTATAATATTGATCCATTCGAACGATTCTCAGATGAAGAATGTCTTGCAGCACTCGAAGCTGTTCAACTCAAACGATTGGTGCGCAACCATCCTGATGGACTCCATCTATTAATAGCTGAATCAGGCACTAATTTGAGCGCTGGTGAACGGCAACTGATTTGTGTAGCTCGAGCTATTCTGAAGAGGAGCCACATATTGCTGATTGATGAAGCTACAGCAAATGTTGATCACACGACCGACCAGATGATTCAAGAGGTGATTGCTGATAAGTTTCGCGATCGTACTATTCTGACAATTGCACATCGACTGAATACAATAGTTAACAGTGATCGTATTCTTATGTTGGAAAAGGGAGAAATAGCCTATTTTGATGTTCCCGATAATATTGATCTATCTCAAGGTGATACTCAAAACTAACTTAGTTCTTATAACTGTATGCTACAAATTATTGTATCGATTCAGAGTTTTTCATTTTCCATCTTCATCCGTAGATGTTCATATTGATTTCATTTTTGTCAACTAAAGGTTAAAAAGTTCTAAAAAAAATTCAGTACGATCTCGTTTTCGACTAAATGAGACAACATCTAAACGATCACGTCAACTATTCAGAACATTTTTCTCTCACAGAAAAATCTAGAAAGCTTGAATAATCTGATTCATTGAATAATATGAATACTCTATGAAAGATTCAAACTTCTTTCTACACTTTTATGTTGCTATATTGAATCTAGAATCTCCAGATATAACAGGCGAAAGTTAATTCTAAAACGAATATTAAATCGAACATGGAAATTCTTTTCTGAACTTTTCAGCGTAAGTAACACTTAAAATGATGACGATTGTTTCGGAAATTTACCTACATTTTTTCTTAATAGTTGTAGCCATTATTTTTATCTTTTTCACTGAGAATGGAATCTTTTGTACTGATTATCAAGAAGATTAATCACACATATTCGGGTCAAATTCTCATTCTCACTACCAAACTAAAAAATTTAAAATATTACGTGCCTATAGCAACCCTAGACTGAGATATTCGATTTTTAAGTTATTCAGTTTTTGTATGTGAACATAATATTATGAAAACTATTCGTATCCAATGTTTTACACAATTATCTGGTTTTCGAGGTAGGAGCTTTTTAAAGTCTTATTGAGACTTTGTCGATGACACTGGAGTCACAATAGATTAAGCTTCTTTTGTAAGTTTACCAATGCCAAAGCGCGAGAAACGCCGACAGTTTTATATAAAATCCGTAGATTATCAGTACTTGCGATATTATTTCATATGAAAGCAATAGATTTACGGCAAATGAAGATGAAGATCTTTAATGAAATGATAACAGCAAACGTTTTTGTTTTTGCATCAAGCACACATTAGAAGGGTTTGTTCCTCACAGCTATCAGTGGGATCGTCAAGATTAGGGTGTGAGTTTGGATGTATGATGTGTAATATCTCTTCATCTACATCCACATCCACACCCACTCTCTCAGTTTGGAAAACAGAAGCACGAATTTTTTTTGCCCAGAATTCAATGTGAAATACAAAACCCCATCGACTCTGTTTCAACCAAATGGACTAGATCGGTTGCCAATTTTTCTATGGATTTTAGTGCTACCTGAAGTGTACCTCCACCGAACCTTTTAAATCAGCAAACTCATCATTCGACAGCGCTCGTCTGGGGCGTCATTCACAGCTAATCGCTTCAATATTTAAGTATAATTCTTCAATTGATAATATTTTTCCATTTACGATATACCCGATTCGCGTTTGAGCTTCTCGAACATATTGTCTTTATTTCGTGAACTTTCTAAAAAATCAGTGTTATATTGAAATTTCTCATTAACGGAATCTCAGCGAAGTTTTCTCAAAAAACATGTGAGATTTTCCACGAATTTTTCCTGAACCACATTTTCGGCAGATGTCTAGAGTTAACGACTAGTCATTTGTCGACTCGAGTGGATTTAGAACATCTGGAACTTCATTGGGATCCATCCTGAAAAGTTTTTAACATCAATATTTCTAAGATAACTTTCTGATTAGATAAACAAAAATTTAACACAATATAAAAATATTTCTTGTAATAAAAGTAATGTTTAAATTCAAACAATCTCTAACGTATTTCAATTTTTAAATAAAATTTGCTGATGCTTAGTGTATTTTTGAACGCTACCGAGATAGTAATGGCTTTCAAAACGATACTCATTTTATCGGCTATTTGTAAAAGAAGTATACTATTATTCAGAAGAAGATTGGAATAAATATGTCTTATCAAAATGTCCTTATGCATTACGACCATTTATATAGAAAAAGGAAGTAAAGACTAAATAAATATTTCTTGTTTTATTAAATGATAAATAATAAACTTAGATATCAT